GTATGGGCATAGGAAACTCATTAAAGCTTTATACTGGAAAGAGTCTGTTGAACGAATCTATCTAAGAGGATTACAATTGTAATGAGTCCTAGTAGGCGTTGCAAGTCACTCTTCCAAACATCGGCTGCAGGAGTCCAATTAAATGGTCAGGTCACATACAGGCGTAGGTATAAAAATGAGTTTCTGGAAAGAGTCTGTTGAACGAATCTATCTAAGGGGATTACAAACGTAATGAGTCCTAGTAGGCGTTGCAAGTCCCTCTTCCAAACATTGGCCACCGGAGTCCATATAATGGTCAGATCACGTATGGGCATAGGAAACTCATTAAAGCTTTATACTGGAAAGAGTCTGTTGAACGAATCTATCTAAGAGGATTACAATCGTAATGAGTCCTAGTAGGCGTTGCAAGTCACTCTTCCAAACATCGGCTGCAGGAGTCCAATTAAATGGCAGGTCACATGCAGGCGTAGGTATATTTTGTGATGCCAACAGAGCGTGATGGAAGTAAATATTAAAGGTTTGGAAATTTACTTCCCTATTTTTCTTTGTTTTGATTTATTAATATTAGAAGAGTCGCGCATTTGCGTATTTATTTTTTTTTCTATAATCACGTGAATTTACCTAGCGACTTTATTGGTTAATTTCGGTGTAATTTTTTTTTCCATGAAATCGTTATTACAAGATGTCCATTTTATTGTGATTATGTGAAAAATTAATTACTGTATAGGGTTATAACATTCATATTGGCAATAGTTTTTATTTGAACTTTAACTGCATTATCTTGGATTGTAAACATGTGGATATTAGGGACCGAGTAATGTTTAATCCTAATGTGGAGGAGAGAGTTAAAGGTGACGAACTTGCATTTCCTATTAAGGTAGGGTATATTGAAAAGAATAACATGTAAAGTCTTTTTCTTGAAATAATTTAATTATCTATTGTGTTTGTATAGATCAGAAACGATGTTTGAATAGGAGGTGGCACAATTATTTGCCCTGGAATCACTATTGGTAATAGGTATGTTAATATCTCAATAACATATTTTGATAAGATTATATCAAGCTTATTTACTACTAATGAATTGGTGTAGGTTCGTGGTAAATACAACACAGTTTATTTGATTTAATATTATTTTTTTTTCAAGATTTTGATTTTTGATATTTTTAATTTGTCGATATTTCGACTAAATGTTTTATAAATATATATACTTATCAAACAGGTATTAAAATTATTAAATATTTAAAACAATATTCAATATTTAATTTTTTCAATTTTATGAGTTTAATTAAATAAAAATACTTAATTTGATATCAATTTATTAATAAAAAATATTTAACATTAGAATTATTAAATTATTTGTTATTTGCATAAAAATTAATAAAATATATATAGTGTGATACAAAAAAAACTAGAATTATATATTAGTTATAATTCAATAATTAATTAATCAAATTATATAAAACTTTACAAATAAGTTCTTTGATATCTTAACAATAAGTTTGTTATAAGTCATATATAGTGTGTTGCAAAACTTTTTAAATTTTTTTTTATTTATTATTCAAAAACTATTGTATAAAAATTAATAAATAATATATCAAAATAAAGCTTAAAATCTAAAAATTATAATAGTATAAATTTTATATAAAAATTTTTTAAGTATTAAAAATTGATTACAAATAAAAATTTCATTAAAATTATTATAATTTTATAAATTTTAATCCAATAAATTTAAAAATTTGTTAATTTAATCTATAGATTTTTTTCTTTTTTTAAAAAATTTTTATATAATTTTTAATTTTTAAATTTTTAAAATTTTATAACTTTGTAAATTTAAATAAAATAAATCTAAAAATTGATTAATAATTATAATAATATTATATCTTTTTTATAAAAATTTTAGAAAAAATTCTAAAAAGTTTTACAATATACTGTATATAAATATAATAATAATTTTTTTTTTTAATTTTAATTTTTAATATATTAATATTTAAAAAAAAATTAATTTACAATTTTTTTATATATGTTTTATAATAAAAAACTGTTCAAAAAATAATTTTAAAAAAAACAAACAAACTTTTTTTCACTTTCTCTTCTATGCTTGAAAATTTTTTTTTTTTAGAAAATTTTTAAGTTGTTTACTTTTTTCTTTATCTTCCCTTTGCTCTTTTCTCTATTTTCCCCTTCCCATGTTTTTTTATTTCTCTTTTTTAATTTTTCCCTTTCTTTTCTATATACTTTTTTTTATCTTATATCCTTCCATTCCTCTTTTTCTTTTTTTTTTTCTACCAAAGCTAGGTTTTTCCTTTTTTCTAAAGATTTTTTTATCTAAACCTCTTTTTTTTTTTAAACTTCACCTTTATAATATCACTTTTTTAACCAGACAATTCCTTCTTCCAAAGGGCCATATCAAGAAGCAGTAATCTTTTTTAGGATATAAGCTTTAGAAAATTTTTTCTCTTTTATGGTTTCTTAGAAAAAGAATAGATAGTTTATTCTTTCCAAAAGATTGATATGATTATTATTACCAAACCCAATATTGTTTACTGATTGGTGATTAAACTAGATATGTTCAAAAAGCCTTTGTATAACTATTATTATTCAAAAGTATTTAAAAAGTTGTGTCTTATAGTATCCAGAGTGAAATGGTAACCAATGTCAATGCAACTAGCAATAAGTTAGATTAGTTACAGATGTTATGTTGATAATTAAAGAACTTAGTAGGATAATATGTAATGATCAGAAATTTTAGTTACCCTTGTAATACAAGTTAGTAATAATAACAAAAGTTTCTTGCTTACCCCTCTGACAATGTAGGTTGATTATATAAGATTAGATTTTGATACTATTAAGAAAATCAATATAAATTTCATCTATAGGACACTTCTGCCATACTTAAAGCATAAGTGTATCAAATTCTTTTTGTAACTTGAAGACAAACTTGTATAAAGTGACTGTAGTATTTTTATGCAAAAAGATATTCACTTTTCACTACTTCCAACACTACTTCGCTTGCTGTACATCAAGCCATATTTGGAAAGTAGGTATACTAATTCTAATCATAACTTGGAGATCAACCTGTATAGATTGGCTGCAGTGCCTTCATATAATTAAATATTCATTTATTTCTAGATAGTTAGATATTATTCAAGGCAATAATATAGATTTTTGAATTTCTTTTTTTTTGTATTTCTTAAATGGTATTAAAAGAGTACAGAGGTTGAGCATCATATAAAAGCCTTGCATTAAACTCTTCCTAACAAAGAGAGGCATATGTTGTGCTATTGAATATTGTACCTTGCTTTACAAGTGAAAGTATAATAAATATAATAAAGCATAATAATCATTTGCTCTTTTCAAATAATAATAATAATAATAATTAAAAAATTTTAATTTTATTTAAATTTTAAATATTCTTATAATAAAAATATATGTATTTAAAATTAAAAAAATGTGTTTTTTTTTATATTTTTAAATATTATAAATATCTTTATATAAAATTAATAATAATAATTTTTTAAAATTTACAATAGAATAGTAATTAACACTCCACAGGTCAAATCACAAGATACCAGTTCAATTCCAGATAAAGGCAATTAAACCAAATTAAAAATAGTATCTGGAGCCATAACCTATTAAGCTCTGTTTCTTATGGAAAGTCATTCACACGCTAATCCAGTGGAATGTTAGGATTGTGATCTTCAAGAAAGATGTATAATGGGATGATCATTCAGAAGTGATTTGATGATCATCTGACAGTAACTTGAATCAACCATACATTTGGATGCACAGACTAGGCTGTGCTTCATCTTAATTAACTCAAGCAATATTTTCATTCTACCAGCTTTTGAATAAGGCAACTATAAAGGAACATGCTCTCCTGGCATTGACATACTATGTGACATGGACCCCTTATAGCTTACCATATCTGTAGAAGTTGTGTTCTGCTTGGCATTCATGTCTCTAAATTTGGCAGCCAACACCAACTGGCATCTCTGGATATGTTTACTAGGAGACAGGGACCTTGGAAACGTGGTGGTCACACCAGTCTAGCCTGTATGGTCCCTGCAGATTTGCACTCTAATTGGTCAAAAAAAGGACTCCTAGGTTTGGTAGCTGATAGCCAATTAGAGGATAAAAAGGTTTGAAGCATTCACTAGGGAGTACAGACCAACGTAAAGACCTCTCTGCCATGGTAACTGAGTGTCGAAGAAGTGTGATACAATAAGTTACTTATAAGGATACTCTTATTGTTCTTGCACAAAAATTGAACCAGTAGATTAGGTGGTTTAAACTAGTGGTAGAAATTCCTCCCCTAGATAGATCCCTCCAAAAATGTAAAAAAATACCTCAAGAGTGTCAAATTAGCATTAATGGGCAAAAACAGTTGATAGGCTAGCATTAAGCTATAGTATAATCATTACAGAAGATGTTTGATATATTGTAACAGATATATAATATCAATAAAGACTTGCATCTAATGCCGTTCAACTATAAAAAAAAAAATTACAATAGAAAATATTTTTTTGATATTTTTTTTAAAAAAATATTTATTTTATATTTAAAATTAGCTTTAAAGTTAATATTAAAATTAATAAAAAATTATATTGTTTTTTTATTTTTATTTTTATTTTTTTTTAAAGTAGATAAACATTATTATTTTATTAATCATAAAATTGTTTAAAATTTATATATGAAGAAAGTGACAACATCTCTTATATAACTTGCTAAGCTAATAAATTTAATGTTAGCTTGCTTATAGAAACTATCTAAGTGATATGGAAAATAAATATTAAAACCGATGTATATCCTAAATAGTACCAAGCAGCTATAAATACCTACTCAGGTTTATATGTAAAACTATAAGAAATTGAAAATTAAAAAAAAAACAAAATAAAAAAAAACTCTCACCCGTTTACCACTGATTTCTTGAAAATTTCCTTATATAATAATTTTCTTGAAAGAAGTGCTTTCCTCTCTCTCTTCAATATGCCAACTATGCTATAAGCTCAAGGATATAAGGACTTTAAAGACCACTGTTGCATTGGGATGGGACCTTTGGTCAAAGGCCAAACAAGTTTGGGAGTCTTGTTT